TTTATATATCTTCAAGAGTAGGCATCATCTCTTCGACGCCTATATTGAATTGTCAGGTGTTCATCTTTGCGCGCCACCTTTCGATCATAGTAGACAAAGTGTCACGGTCATGGTGAGTCATCGCAATGATGGTTAGAGGATACAATCCTGATCTCTTGATCAAATCAATTTGATCCTAGTTTGATAAAGGCCATAAAGTAACTGCATTGGCCTTCTCATCAATCCCGAGGGGTTTTCCCAATCCTGAAATGGAATTTGTGATTTCAAATATTTAAATAAATAAATTGATTAACCAACATGATATGTAAAGAATATAATTTGGAATATGTGTACATACATCTCCTTCCCAAATCTTTTGTGATATATGTTGTCTCTATCTATTGACCGATGTAGGAATCTCAGGACCTCCAGGGCAGGGTGCGCCTTCGGCCATGATCCCTGTTCAAAAAGCCATCATCATCCATTTTCTATCAAAACATAACTTGGAAGTATATGGCCAAGTTGGTGTGAAAAAATACATAGCATGAGAAGGGGGAACAAATAACAACCTTAAAAAGACAATATGAAACCATCAATCATCCATCCAAATCCATGTTTAATACCTATGATCAACACTTACAACCATAATAAATAAAAGAAAGAAAAAAAATCCATTAGGTATGTCAATTACATTTCTTATAACAGGGAAAATTCTTTATCTAAGGTAGTTTGGTAAGAAAACTTTCTACTTTGCGAAAATATGTGAAAAACAATTTGTCTTGAACTTAATTACAGACAAAAGTATAATGATATACTCTAGGAATCATAAATAACACCTAAATGAAACATGCTCTATACAGAGGCTCTATACATGGTCGTCTTGAACTTTATATAGGAAATGGTTGTATTAACTCCATTAATTTCTTGAAAGAAGCTAGAAAACGGGAAATTGAATAAACATAAATAATACCTAATTTGTTACATAAATAATACCTAATTTGTTACATAAGCCAGGTTCAAAACAAGCAACCTATAATAGCTAATTTCCTACGCAAACTACAATCAAGTTCCTAAACGCCTAGTCCCCATTGCATAACAATTATCAACAAATAAATCAAATTGAATCTGATGAGATAAAGGAAAAAACCTAAAATTCACATAAATTTATGAATCTCATAAATCTGATGCATAACAATCATCAACAAAGATATCAAATTGAACTTCATAAATTTACCCCAAATCAGAAAACTTAAAATTCGCAATGTTGAATCAAACAAAAATAAATAGGGGAAAGATTTCTTACCTCAAAGTAGAAACTGATGAGAAAAGGAAAATAAGGGAGAAAGAGACTAGTAAGAGATTGAGCCTCGAGAAATAGAACAGAGCTACCTTAAAACGGTAAAAACAATATAGTAATGAAGAAAAGGGTTTCGTCAAGGTTTATAAGGCCCCATAGTCTTACGATAATTTGAGTACCGTAATAACACAATGTTTCCTCACAATATTTTAAATGTTGTATAAAATACGGTATACCATAGTGATGCTTCACGGTAATATGACTATTGTGAAGGCTATTTTTGTCAAAAAATGCTCAAAATTGAAGAAAAGTGGTGTGGACAAGGTTTATGAAAGTAAAAGATTTGTTTTCTAAATAGACAAAAATTAAAGTATATTTCTAACAATTTCTCTAATTAAAATTGCATTAGGGGAAGAGATAATTAACATAATTAATGCTTATGCACTACATGTAGGATTAGATGATAGAATTAAGAGATAATTTTGAAAGGACATATATAGATTAGTTCGAGACATACTAAATTGAGAAATGACCTTTTTAAGAGGGGGCTTAAATAGTTGTGTAGGGAATGATAGTAGAGAATATGGAGGGGTACAAGGGGGATATGGATTTGGGAAAAAAAAGAGATTGGCGAGACTATTTTAGATTTTGCTATGGCATACGACCTGGCACTAACAAACACTTACTTTAAAAATCGAGATGAACATTTAATAACATATAAAAGTGGATCAACCATCATGTAAAAAGTAGATCAACCATCATGTAAAGATTGCAAGGTTATCCTAGGAGAGTTTGCCTACCCAACATAGACTTGTGGTTATGGACGTTTACATAAAGACATGGAAGATAAGGGGTGAAAGTAATAGTTGTCCAATAACTAGGTGGTGGAATTTAAAAAATAAGAAAATAGACTTATTTAAGGATAAATTAGTCAAAGAAGGAAATGGAATTTTGAAAATGATGTCAGTGCAATATGGAATGAGATGACTAACTGTATCAAGAAAGTGTCAAATAACGTTTTAAGAGAATATAGAGGGAAAAGAAAATCCGATAAATAAACTTGGTGGTGAAGTGATAAGGTTCAAAAAGCCATTAGCAAAAAACGATCATGTTATACAACTTGACAGTGTAATAGAAATAATCAAAACTCAGAAGAATATAAAAATATTAAGAAAAATACTAAATAAATAGTAAATAAAGCTAAACTCAAAGCATCTGATAATCTATATAACAAACTCGAACAAGAGAAGATGAGAAAGATGTCTTTTAAATTAACAAAAATAAGAGAGAAAAAGTATAGGGGTCTAAAATAAATTAAATGCACTAGGAGTGAGGATCATAGGATTTTGGTGAAAGATAACGAGGTCAACTAAAGGTGGAGAGTTTATTTTAAAAAACTATTAAATAACCAACACAATGGGAACATAGTCATAGAAGGAACTGCTGGTATAAATGGTGACAGTGATCATAGATACATTCATAGGATTAAGATGTTGGAAGTGAAAGAAGCTTTGAAAATGATGAAAATAAGAAATGCTTTAGGATCAAATGATATCCCATTAAAGGTTTGGAAGTGCATGGGGGAGATTGTCATTGATTGGCTGACGAAGCTACTCAACAAGGTGTTGAGAACAAATAAAATATCAGACAAATAGAGAAAAAGCATTGTGGTACCTATTTGCAAGAACGAAGGAGATATATAGAATTGTGTGAACTATCAAGGGATCAAGCTCATGAACCATATTATGAAACTCTTGAAGAGAGTAATTGAGCAACGGCTAAGGCATAAAACGAGTGTATAGAAAAACCAATTGGTTTTATGATAGGGAGGTCAACAACCAAGGCTATTTTCCTACTTAAGCATGGGACCGATATGTCTAGGGCAAAGGGAAAAGACCTCTACATGATATTTATTGATCCAGAGAAAACTTGTGATAGAGTACCTCGAGATTTTATTTAGCTGGTGTTGGAAAATAAAAGCGTCTCCAAACACTGCATCAACTTGGTGAGAGATATATATAATGGAGCACTAACTAGTATACGAACAACTAGTGGAGAGACAAGTGAGTTTTAAGTGACAATAGGTCTACATCAAAGGTCAGCATTGAGCCCGCACTTCTTTGTCTCAGTTATGGACGACTTAACTAGGCACCTATAGGATGAGGTACCATGGTGCATGTTGTTAACAGATGACATAGTTTTGATCAGTCAGACTCGAAACAACGTCAACACAAAGTTAGAACTTTGGTGGGTTGCTCTAAAATCCAAAGGTTTAAAATTAACCGAAGTAAGATAATATGGAATATAAATTTAGTAATAATAAGAGTAGAGAGGAGGAAGTAGTTAAGATTGATGGTCAATAAGTACAAAAAATATCGCACTTTCGATATTTTGGGTTGATAATCTAGGAAAATGGAGAGATTGAAAAAGATGTATACATAAATAGAGTTGAGTGGGCAAAGTGGAGATGTGTAATTGGAATTCTATGTGATCGGTGCACACCAACAAAGTTGAAGGCCAAGTTCTATATGACAATTGTGAGAGCATCTTTGCTCTATGAGGCGGAATGTTTGGCAAACGAAAAGTAATATACCATAAAATGAGTGTAACAAATATGAGGATGTTGAGATGGATGAGTGGCAAGATAAGAAGTGATAGAATTCGAAATGAATCAATTCGGAAAAATTTAGGTACGACACCAATAGGCGATAAGATGAGAGAGAGGTAGCCTGGACATATGTTGCTCTGTCCCAGTAGAACACATGCTAGGAGATGCGAGTTAGTTCAAGTAGAAGGATTGAAAAGAGCAAGGGGTAGGCCAAAAAGTATATGGTTGGAAGTTGTTTGAAAAGATATTTTGATTTATGGCCTCAGAGGGTATGACTTTTAATAGAGCAAATGGAGGACTATGATTCGTGTAGCCGACCCCAATTAATTGGGGAAAAGCTATGATAATGATAAAAAATTAGCATTATTTTAGGGAAAATTTCGTATAGAACCCTAATTCCTCAGATTATTTTATGGTAGACCCTATTTCCGTTTTTCTTTCAAGTGGCATAAAGAAATCGATGAAAATTTCACCGTATCCCTTCATCTCTTATCTCCCTCTTTTATTGACTTTTGACCATAAAAATTAGTTCAAACAAATTTTTGTATACTTTTTCATCCCAAAATTTTTTTTAACATTTTTTTTCCTTTCCACCCATTAAAAAAGTTTTTGGGTTAGAAATTCTATAAAAAGATTTGTTGGGGCTAATTTTTTATGATTAAAAATCAACAAAAGAGGAAGATAAAAGATGAGGGGGTATGATGAAATCTTTAGAGGTTTTTTTATTCTGTTTGAAAAAAAAATAAAAGAGGAAGGTAAGAGATGAGGGGGAATGATGAAATCTTTAGAGGTTTTTTCATATCGTTTGAAAAAAAAAACGGAAAGCTGGTCTAACATGAATTAATACGAGAAATTAGGGTTCTATACGAAAATTTTCCTTACTTTTATATAACATAAAAATTTGGGTTGGGTTGAGATGGAATATGACCTTACTCAACCCGACCCAATAGGATCGACGCTGGACCCGAACTCCGTATGGTCATGCACTGGTTATTTTTCATAACTCTCTTAAGAAAGAATAACACTTTTTTTGCACCATCACTAACCGATGCGTAATCCAAGAGTTAATAAACGGTCCATACAAAGAGAAATTACAAAGAAATATAACAAAAGCCAACAAAAACCAGAAAAAAAACTAGAAGATTACGACGTTTAAAGCTTCACCAGCAATTCTCTATGGGAAAATGATTTGATAGGGCTGCAGCCCAATGAAAATAAATAAAGCGGCAGCCCTTCTCACTGTCCATTATGGTATCCCTTTCCAAGATCGACGCCCAATAAGAAACTCCATGGATATCAGCTGAATCCTGCGTGGAAGGAATGGCGGAGAGAGAGAAAATTTCTTATTGGGGTTGGGCTGCTTTGGCACTCTTCATACGCCTGTTTCTCATTCCCATTTCTCTATCTTTCACCTCTCGTCCTGAGATTGCAACCCCTCTCACTAGCATCCGTCGATGTGAGTTCACCCTTTATATTCTATCTGTATGCTTTTTGCATCTCTTTTCTCTCTCTAAATGGGCTTCATTCAATTACGATTCCTAGTTTCCGCACACAACAGTTCAAATCCCCTGAAGCTTTATTTCATCTTCGAACAATTTATTCGACCGGAAACATTAAAAAAAAAAAAAAACAATTTATTCGACAGGATTTGTAGCCTTTATGATACGTGTTTGACAAATCAGGGAATGGAACTGTTGATTTTTGTCTTTGCATTTTAAGCTGTTTATTGAGATCTGAAAGTTTTGGGTGTTTTTTTTTTAACGTTTTTATTGCATTTCTTGCAAATTAGTAGTTCTGCACTCCCTCTCTCTCTATCTCTTTTTATCTGTAACTGTCTCAACTCTCTAACTGTCTATCTGCCTATCTCGATACAGAGTCATTTTTGAGAATTTTTATTTTTCTGAGCTATCTTTCTGAGCTTGAAATCAGTTCAACTGACTTTCTTTGTTTGGTCCTATACTATGCCTTTACACTGTCTCTAGTTTATAGGGTTCTGCATTTACCATTTCGCATTGATTCCTTTTCTTTCTTTTCTGCCATGGGAACGGAAGTGGACAAGAAAAAATATTTTATTGTTGGATGGTTAAGTAAAAACCTTGTGAACATTGATCCATGGATGCTTCAGAATGCTACTATGCTTAAGTATTCAATGCTGTAGAAAGAATTGATTTAGCTTTTAACTGTCTTCCTGTGATAGGAGAAATTACTTTAGGTCTTATTCTCAGTTTGTAAAAAATATATGGAACAAATTTAGAATGATTTTGATTATACATGATACAAAGTTACAATGGCTTTGAATCTTTGATTATATATATATATAAAATCTCTTTTAATGGCTATAACAAAAACATCAGTTATTTTGAGTATGTCACCAGTAAAATTGATCATATTATGTATACCATGTGAGAATGAATTTCAATCTCACACCTCTAACAATCCTCTTGCTATAAGTAATTTTTCTTTTGGGGCTGGTTTCACCACCCATCATTTTACTTCTGCAACCAACACATTATTTAATGCTATCTAATCAATGTTCAGCAGTTGTGATACTGTGATTAATGACCCAGAATCCATTCAGGCGGCACTAATTTTGTGTGTTAGGCATGATTTCTAAATGGTGGTGGCAGAACTAGCTCCCCTTTGCATTTCTTTTTTGAAGGGGTGCGATTATACTATTTGCTAGATTTTTAATACTTAGCCAAAAGAGAAAAGATAGACTGCTTCTTTGTTAAAGGATATTGTCATGGTGCTTTGCAGTGGCAGAAGGTCAATGGTTAAAGCAATCTTCATTTTCTCCTTATGCAGGTATCTTCTTGCCTGAGATGCATGGGTTCTCTGTCTCCTTAGATCGTAGAATCCCTTTGATAGTCATGTTAATCAAGTCATTTATGAATGGAACTCTCTGATATTTGCCATCAATATAAATCTTCAGGCTATAGAAAAAAAGAGCCAAAGAAAATAACATGTACGCACACACATGCACACATTACACTTATGGTAATAATTCATTTCTTTTCTTGAAAGTTCTGGTAAGTTGAAGGGTCTAGCATGGTCTTGCACTCTAAAGAAGAGGTTTGGATTGTCCGCATTGGTTCCAAATATCAAAACTACTAGGTTGCCTTTTTATGGATTGAAATTGTATACACTTGTGTCTCTTGCTTTATGAGATTTTGAAGTCAGTGTAGTCTAGGTGCATATTCTTATGAATTGAATGAAATATGTCCAAGTTTGCATGATAGTACCATGCAAAATTGATTTCAATTTCTATATGTTTAGACTGGTTAGGCTGAGTTTACTGACATGACTCCTATTTTAGGATCTATGTACCATGGTTCACCTTTGTTACTATCGGTTCTAGGCCCCCTGACTGTATGTAGGTATGACCCTATAAATAAATGTCTTTCTCTTAGCATGAAAATGCTTGTTTGTGTTTCTCTCTTAGCCCATATCCGTGCTTTCCTGAAAAGAGCATGCGTCGTAAATATAGTCAACTTCGTTTTATACCACCTTTTGTGTTGTACAGAACTGGAGGAGTCCCAAGTCACATTTTACTGAGGTAGTCCTTCACCTTCTTTTGATTTTTTTAAATGCTTTATGAGAATTTTATGGTAGTTGGGTGTTTTTATTTAGTGAATCTTTGTATGCATTTTGCGGTCCTTATCCTTCCAATAATTTAAGGTTCATGCCTTTTCATTTTAGTGTTCTATTTTATATACATAACTCGGCTTTTCTGCATCATTTTTTCTCACTGATATGATAGAGATTGAGAGATTGTTGGTATCAACATTGTTTGGATATAGTTTGGTGTTAGTGATTGCAGATA